GTCACTTCCTGACCTTGGGCAGACTTTGCCTCTCCCTTGAATCTCTGCTGGTGCTCAGAGGGAGCCTGGCCGAGAGCAGAGGCCCTGACTGCACCCTCCCCCAAGACCAGGTCCCAAGGACCCTACCGAATGGGGGGGGCATGGGATGGAACATGGGATGGGAGTGGGGAGGAGCTGCCAGTGGGAGGGAGGGCGGATGCGGCTCAGTGGGCGCGGTCGCTGGCATCTGTCTCATGCCATTTGCCTTGTGAGTGATTCTCATGTCGGGGCCGCTTTTTGGATGGGGATATTCTGGGCATCTCCTCTTTCTGATGGTCCCTGGGAGGAGGCAGTCAGGGTCTGGGCGGAGCCTGGGCCTTCTCCCCATGTTATGGGCTCCTGGAGGTGGTGGTTGGAGCGGGGTCGGGGGATAGCAATCGGGGTGCTATCCCGAAAGGAGAGGGTTTGTTTCCCAGAGGGGAGGAGACCCAGGCCAGGGGACTCGCCGGAAGGAGACGGACACTGGGCCTCGTTCCCACCACCCGAAGGGGCCGGGCCGGGTCTCAGACCCCTGCTCCTTGCAACAGTCCTCGATTCTGCCACTGGGGGCAAAGGCAGGCAGGGCAGGCCCCACGCAGGCACGCACAGGCTCACCTCCACGCCCACCTCCCCACTCCCCATCCATTCCAGCCGGGTCCAGAGGGGCTGGTCAAAGGGCACGCACAAGAGCTGCCAGGGAACTCCCTGAGGCAAGTTGAGAGCTAGGCCTTGTTTTCCCAGGGTGGGCGGGGGCCTGTGCCAGTCAACGCGAGCTGCCAGGACAGGTGGGAAGCACAAATGTATTTCCTCACAGTTCTGAAGCTGGAAGTCCATCCGGGTGCCAGGGCTGCTTTCTCCTGCGGCCTCTCTCCTCAGCTCAGCTTGCAGACGGCCACCTTCTTGGTGTCCTCACGTGGCCTTTTCTCTGGGCACACACCTGGGGGGTGCGGGTGGGGAGGGATACATCTGGTGTCCTTTCCTCTTTTCGTAAGGACACCAGTCCTATCAGGTTAGGGCCCCACCCCTATGACCTCATTTAACCTGAATTACCTCTTTAAGGTACCCCATCTCCAAATATAGTCACATTGGGGGTTATGGCTTAAACCTATGGTTTTGGGGAGGGACACAGTTTAGTCTGTAATAAGGGGTCACCACAAACATGAAAAGCAGGAGCCATCTCCTCTTCACCATCCCCTCCCTGGCTAGGGTGGCCCCGGGTGCCTTGGGGACCCACAGGGCGGTGAGGAGGAGCCCCCGGGAGAGGGATGTCCTGGGAAGAGCCTGGGCTTTGCACCGAGGGTGCGTGCTCTGCTGAACAACCTCCCCTCAGTGAGTCTGATTTCCATCTGCTCCCCTGGGGGCCGCAGGGGGGATTCCGCAGAGTCAAGTGCTTGCGCAGTGCAGTGCCTGCCTCCGAATCGCGGCTCCCTAAACACGCCCGCCCACCTGGAGTTGAGATCTAGGACTTGCCTGTGTTCGGCATCCGGTGTAATCTCAGCATCTGCAGGTGCAGAGGCATCTCTGACTAGCCCTTCCCCTGCCTGTTCTCTCAAGATCCCTCTCGAAGCAGCTTGGGGAAGTGGCTGCTTTTCATGGCCTCCGTGGTAGCCCCAGAGCGTCCTGGGGTGTTTCAATTCTGGTGGCATCAGTCCTGAGCATCTACCGTGAGCCCTTTCCTGTGTTAGCCACGTGGGGGCGAGGTTCCAACCTTCAGGATGTCACCGCCATGCTGAGGGGGAGAAGACCCGCTCCCCACAGAGAACTGGAGAACGGGGCAGAAATCAGTCCTCGGAGGCCCACATTCCGAGAGCGCGGGAGGAAAACCCCAGAGTGGGCTGTAGCCATCTAGACAGGCTTCCCCGCAAGGCCGACCCAGTCAGGTCCTTGAAGGATGAGAAAGGTGGCTTAGCTGAGAGCTTCCACTAGGGGTGAGGGGCCTGGGCAATCAGAGCAGAGACTCCTAAGGTGAGTTCTAGACATCATTGCTTTTTTAAAAAAAGTGAGTTCAAGTTCAGCAGGCATCTGTAGTGCAGGACTTATCAGAGCCTTTAAAAGGCTGGTGGGAATCGTGCGTCCTCAAGGATAGATAGGGGATGAGGTGTTTTCCCCCAACCTTGACCAGGCAGAATCTTTTTATTTTTATTTTTTACGGAGTGTCATTTAGAGCTGGGAAACGCTGGGGTTTCTGTGGGAAAACCACAGCAAGGACAGGAGACGACATAAGTAGGGCACACACAGGTGCTTTGCGGCATCAGCTGGAGAGGCCACAGACCCGGCGGGGCAGGGAAGTCTGGCCTGGGTTCTGGGTGTTGGCGAGCTCTGTGCAGCTTTGGGAGGAGGAGGAGGAGACAGGCTAGTGGTTGGAGCAGCCAGAGGCCTGGCTGTTGGTGATCGGAAGAGAAAGTCCACTGGACACGGTGGTTCTGGGGCAGCTGGCCTTTTGTGGGAAGACGCTGGTGTGTGCGTGTGTGCGTGCGTGAGTGTGACAGGATCCAGCCCCCTGGGAAGGGGCTGACCAGAAGCAGACAGGGGGTTCTAGCCAGGACAAGCAGGGTCTAATTTGTAGGGGAACTGGAGTGTCTGGTGGGAGGGTCTTTGAGGCCCACAGTCAAGAAGCACCAGGCTTCTGGGCCGGGTCCATGTGGGTAGGTTTGGTTCTGGTGGGCGGAGGGGCTGGGAGGCAGACCCCCTGCCCTGGTCAGGCCCAGCTCGCTGGCTGATGGGGGCGGAAGGCCGCGGGCTGCAGCCGGAGGGGCCTGGGCAGTATTGCATGGGGGTGATTAACCTACTAACCCAGGGCTCGGCCGGGACGCTGTGGCGTGTGACGAGGTGCCTGGCCTTCTGCCAACCGACTAACCCACTAACCAGGCCCGAGCATGTCCTACTAACCCCCCCGCAGCCAGACCCTACTAATCTCGCAGCTCAAGGGCCTTGAAAGGGGCTGGGACGTGGGGGCAGACGAGGCTCCGGCAGGCCCCGCCCATGGCCCGGGATCTCTGTGCAGACCCACCTCTCAGGGCAGGGCATGCAATGGGACTCACCGGTCAGCCCCTTCCTGCTGGGCGACCGTGAGCGAGTCACCTCACCTCTCTGAACCCTGAGCAGTAGCCTGAGCGACCGGTCCTTACCTCTCAGGTTTCAGTGAGGAGTCCCTCGAATAGTGAGGTCTTGACACCTGGCAGAAGCTTAAGAAAAAAAGGGTTAGGGTGGGGGTGGGAGGCCCAGACCACCTGGTTGATCATGACCCCCGCCCAGGCCCTGCTCCCTCTGGGTGTCCTGCACACAGACCCCGCTGCCTGTGGCCACACACTCGCTTGGAACCCCTAACCGTCTCTTCCCCCCACTCTTCCTCCTCCTCAGCTTTCTTTTCTGTAGGCAGCTCTTCTGTTCGGTTACTAACCTGGGGGTGCCCCCAGTGCACCCCGACCGTCCCTTAACAGACTAACGGACCCGCGTGTGTTCCTCCTTTTCTCCTAGTGACTCCGTGTGTGCGGCTGCGGTGCCCCTGTCTGCTGGTGCTGTGCTCTGACTTACTAACCCAGCCCCTACTAACCCTCTTTTCTCTTCTTACTAACCCCAGCCCTGCCGAGCTCTGGGCCCCCCTGGGGGCTGGTCCTACCTCCTTTTGGCAAGCGGATGTCTCCGGGGCTGGCCCTGCAGACAGACGCTCCACTTGGCTGCCCCAATTGGCTGTGAGTGGAGCCCATTGGGCCAGGTCTGAGGCGGGGGGACAGCCCACGGACCATCCCAGTGGCCCGGAGGACGGGGAGGTCATGTGCGCCTGGGAGGCTGGCCTCTGAGCATGAGCCTCTCTCCTGTGCCGAGTCTGGTTGCCACAGGGACCGGGTGGGACCAGGGAATCCTCGGGGTGAGTGTGGAGGCCTGTGGGTCTACAGTGTGGAGCACTGGGCGTTTCCCAGCCCAGGGAGCAGAGAGAAGGGCCCGGGGGTGTCCCTCTTCGCAGGGCAGCGGAGGTAGGATCTTCCCCATGGGAAGTGGATGCACAGGAGACAATTGGGGGGAGGGGTCCCCGCACGGGAAGTCAGTAAGGAGCCTTCCCTACACGGGAAGTCAATAAAAAGGATTCTTCCCAAACTCGACATCACCGAGGGGAGCATTTCGTGCTGGAAGTCAGCCAGAGGGGGCATTTCCCATATTTGAAGGATGGGAAGTAGTCATCCCGAGGGGAACTGCCGGCCTTAGCACAGGCAGTGAGAGGTCATGGCCAAGAGACCAGTGAGAGGGGCTGCTCCTGCAATAGGCAGTGGGCTAGAGGGGCCCTTCCCCCATACCCGAGGCTGGGATATGGGACTCCCCGACACCGGGAGTCGATAGGGCCCTTTTTCTTACCAGGGGTCATGGAGGAGGCCTGGGAAGAAAGCAGGTCCTCCCTGGGTTTGGAGTTTGCAGGAGGAAATGTGGGGAGCAAGACATGAACCCCAGGGCCCTGCAGGGTCCTGCAGCCCTGCAGGCCAGCCAGGAGCTCAGCCCTGGCTCCCCGTGCTGCTCCGACCCACACCCTAGCCCCCGCCGGCTTCCCCCAGAGCCCGCCAGCCGCTAGGCCAGGGCCACACCTGGGGGTGATCGTATGCCTCACCTCCAGTAGGCACCGTGGTCTCTTTGGGCTCATCTCTGGCTCCCTCGCACTAACCATTGCTCTCACCCAGCTAACCCCTGCCTTGCCCTGGCTGCCCCCAGGGGCTGACCACTCGCTAACAGCCAACCCTGCCCATCTGGGGGCTCCAGGCTCCTGGCCTGGCTCTGACCGGCTCTTCATTAACCGCTCCTTCACCTCCACTAACTCCGGTCCTCCCGGTCTGTTCCTCTCAGCAGAAACTAACGGCTTGTGGATTTCCTTCTGACTAACAACAGGTCTAACACTCCTCCTGACTGTTACTATTAACAGCTTGGATGCCGGCATGGCTGGGGCGGGGCTGACCCACGTTTGAAATGTTGACTGACACAGGGAGAGGTGTGGCTAGTAGCCTTGGACTTAGGTGACTGCTCTGGATCAGAGCCATCTTGAGTCAGTAAAGACCATGGTACCCAAAAGGGAGGCGTAGGGCTGGGTGTGGCTCAGGCTTGATGGGGGAGTGGTGTCGCTGGGGTGGGGTCAGAAGCACAGTCTGCTTTGCGAGGTATTGGCCACTGGACACCCTCATAATCTGCATTTGGGTTTGGTCCTTTTAAACAATAGCCTCATAGCTGCAATAGTCAGAATGAGTGAGTGCAGCGTTTGTAGCCCCCCAAATGCCTCTCTGGTGTGTACAGAGACTGTGCCATGACATGAAATCATCAGTCACCAGCCCAGGGCCTAGAGTCCTTCATTTGGGGACATTACAGTTTTGGAAGCCCTAGAGCATTAAACTTTGTAGTATTCAGAAGTGGTGTAAATCCATCACCCATTTACACCTTAGCGTGAATTAGCCCAGCCTCTGCTTCTGACTTCTATGCAATTTAGTTGCACTGAGATGACAGCGTCTGGCTGGAAGGGAGTCTGGAAGGGCCGAGGAAGGGTCCTTTGGGAGCAGAGAGGGGAAGCCACAAGGCCAGGGGTTCCTGGGTCAGGGGAGGGGTAGGCGGGCATCAAGGGGAGGAGGTCATGGGAAGAGGGACCAGTTTTGCTGGCTCCCTCTGGTAGCCAGGGTCTGTGTGTGGGAGAGGGCAGCTCATGCAGGGCCTGGAGGGTTGGATCAGCTCAGGGACAGGGTCAGAGGCCGGCCTGGAGGCCGTGCAGGCAAAGCGCTCTGGTCGTTGGCTGCTGGTCTGGGTTGAGAGCCGCTGCAGCAGTCACAGGCACAGCTAAGCTTAACCGAGTGGCGCTGGCAGTGCCGTGAGGCCCGGGTTGCAAAGGGAACAAGAGGAGAAGGCCCCAGGAAGAGCTTGTGGAAGGTGCATGGGCTGCTGGCAGCACCGGGGATGGGCTGGAGTCTGCGCTGGGGAAACACATGCCTGCTGCCCTCTAGTGGCGGCCTTGCCCCATTGCATGTAAAGCAGGAAGCTCAAAACATTTTCCATCGGGGGAACTCCGCTTTGTTCAACTACAAAGATTTGACGCTGCTGAGGACCTACTATGTGCCAAGCACTGCTCTGGGTGCTGGGACCCACACACGAGCGTTTCCATTATGGTGCTTATATAGCTCAGTGGGGGTGGGGTGGGTGGGGGCCATGGTAGGGATGGTCTGGGCTGTGGAAGCATCCAGGGGACAGACAAGGATACTAATGCGCACATTCTGTGCCAGGTGCAGTGCCAGGCATTGGGGATGCGTGGCGATTAGTGCTTTAATGCCAGTGTGTTGGGGGGTGCGGGGTAGACGGGGGTGTGGGCAGTCAGCGTGGGCTTTCTGAAGAGAGCCCTCTCAGCCGAGCCCTGGTGATGGGGAGTGTGGTGGGGTGAGTTCTGGGCAGCAGGAATGGTGGACACAAAGCTCTGGGGGGGGCAGAGAGGATCAAAGGGGTTCTGGAAGGTTCCCGGGGAATGTAGCAGGAGACAGATGGGAAATGGACCCGTACCAGGGAGTTGGGCTTTGTCCTCAGGGCAATGGGGTGGGAGGCCACCGATGTGATCGAGGAGGCGGTGGTGTTGGATTTGAGTTTTAGGCTGACAATGTGGCCCAGGTGGAATTCCCAGGAGCTTATAAGAGTTCTGGCCAAGTATTAGATAACTGATTAGACCCTTTGGGAACTAGAAGGACCCCCCCCCCCCAGGCCCATCTGGAGATAAGCAGGGTCTATAACTGCTCGCCCCAGTTGAAGGCGGCGCTGAAATGATAAAAAAAAGCAAAGAGAACGGTGTTCACGCCAGGCTGGGGGCTTGGCTGAGCTGCCAGTGACGCCTGGGGGAGGAGCAGCCTCGAGAGCACGTCACCCCAGGCCCCTGTGGTATGTGGCTCCCACGGGAGATCTGGGGGTAGTGGTCATGCTGCAAGTCCCAGAGAGTCTTGTTGGAATGGGAGCCCTTGGTCCAGGGGGCTGCAAGGGGGACCTGCAAGTGTGGAGGAGTGAGCTTCCAAGAGGCTGAGCCTGGCCCTGGGGAGGGAAACATGTGTCTTGGTGGGTAAGGGACCTTCTGTCCCCGGAGACAGAAAGATGGGACTAGGCCACCTTAGAGACTGATGATGGCATTGTGTGTATGTGTCCTTGACCTAATACCAGAGGACGCCGAGCCCACGTAGGCACACTGTTCACCCCCCAACCCCCAACCCTGGCCTGCTGATGTGCGCTCTGGCCTTGAGGCCACTGAACCCACGCTCCTTAGGTTCTCATGAGCTGGGGAACTGGCCACCCAGGCTGAAAAGAAAGGATCCTAATCCTTTAATAGGCAGCAGGAGGGAGGGGCCATGGTGGACGCTGCTTGAGGGCTGTGATGTCACCCATGCTGACCTACGGAGCGGGGAGGACGCCCGGGGTGGGGACTGGTCTCATCCCAACAAAGACCCCGAAGGCCCTTCTGGAAAGTGTTTTCAGGGACCCACTGTTCTACTCTAACAAACCAGAGGAGACATTCTCCGCGTCACAGCCTCCAGGGGAGGGTGCATGTGGGGACAAGAAATGCAGCTGTAGATTAAAATCAGATTTTTACAAGGACCCAGCAACAGAGTGTAAACTGGGCTCTTTGTCTTCACCCATGAATGTCGCATCTTCTGTGTAAATACCATCCTGACATTAAAAGCAGATTCGCACCCAAAGGATGACTGTTTCTTAGCTGGCAAAAGGGATGCGTAGTTGGGAGAGGGGGACCGGTGGATTTTCAAGGAGCAGGAGTGGGCGTGGTCAGCCTGTTTTTCAAGACCATGACCTTTGAAGTCAATACAATGGGTACTCTTATTTTTAATTGTGGGAAAGTGCACAGAACATAAAAGTTACCACCTTCATAATTTTAAGTGTATGATTCAGTGGCATGAAGTACATTCACATTGCTGTGCAACCATCATGCGGAACCACTATCAATATTTATATATATAAAAGCCTAAGTGACCTTTACGACTGGTTGACTGCTATGACATGGACTGAGCACCAGGGGGCAGATGCTCAACACAGGAGCTGCCCCCTGGTGGTCGGTGTGCTCCCACAGCCAACCTCCCTCGGTCCCTATCCCTGGCTGGCCTCGATTGCCCCAATCAGGACTGGGCGAGACGGCCCCAATCGGTCCCGATCACCGGCCAGGCCGAGGGACCCCACCTGTGCATGAATTCGTGCACTGGGCCTCTAGAGTATTTATATATTTAACAATACCACTTGGTGCCTAGAACAGTTCTTCAAAGAAAAGCCGGGTTCTTCTTGTCAGGGAGCTTATATCTCATTGGGAAGGCAAAGAGCTCTTTGGTGACAGAGAAACAGGTAGGAAGAGTTTAGGGTGTGGAGATGAAGGGCTGGCAAATACATGGCACACACATGGCTACCCTCCCTTCCAGCACCCATGGCAGACATTGCTAGTTGATCACCTATCTCTCTTTGGGAACCTGGACGCATCGTCAGGATCTGTCTCAAGACCGGCCTGCCGGGGTGTTTTTAATGATTTTGAAGTCAGTCCTAGCATTGAGATTCCTGAGAAACCTGGTCTGAATCCCAGCTTTGCCACTTACCGGCTGTGAGCTCTTGGGGCTAATTTCCCTTCTCCAGGCCTCCACGTTCTCTGGAAGACGGGGTCAGCTCTTCCTGGAAGAAATGATACACGAGAAAAGCCTTGAAGGATGGGGACAACTTGTCAAAGGCAATAAAATAGCCAATGCTGTCCCAAGGTTCATCAGACCAGTTTTATGGGAGATGGGGGATGCGGGTGGTGGGCACTCCAGAGTTCACAGCAATGCTCAGGGGGCCAAGCCAGAGCTGCAGTTCCTAGGCATGGCCAGAAGGTGGCGGTATTGCGCCAAGACCACTTCTTAGTCTCCGTTCTTAGAAACTGGGTTACTTTCTGGGTGTCTCTGGGGATGCTCTATGGTGGATACTCTTTGGATTCCAGAGTTTTATGGCATTGGGTAGGGAATTTGTTAGGACATGGCATGGACTGGGGACGGGAAGAGGCTGGAGGCGATGCAGCTGAGCAGAGCAGCTCTGGGGCCTCTGTGCTTAAGCCAAGCCAGGTGACCTCCCTTCTCTAAGCCTCAGTTTTCTTCTCTGCAAAATGGGCAAGGAGCACTTCTATGTGATCACACGGGTGGTTCTGGCAATGCAGCGTCCCCTCGTGTTCTCCTCCTGAGGTCTAGAAGATTCCAGGAACCAGCTGATGCTGTGAGCTCTGCCTGTAGGCAAGACCATTCCCCCTCCTTCCACCTTCAAACCCCTTGCCTTGACCTAAAAGGGCTGTTGCCACTTTCTGAGCACTTACTGTGTGCCGGGCTCTGTACCACATGGCTCCTACATGTTGATTCATGAAGCACTCAGAAGAATAGCGTTGCCATAGGTAGCTAGTTACGAACAAGGATGGAAGCAAAGGGAATGGGACATGGAGCTAGCACCACGCTTTCACAGGGTCAGAGGTCAAGAAGATGATGTTGAATGAACGAAACAGGGAGCCAGTTGAGCCTTGGGAGGGGTGGTGCCCAAGCTGAGCCAGGAGCAGCCAGATCCACTCTTCACTGGCTGTGTGACTTAAGGTTGGTGACCTCCCCTTTCTGAGCCTCACATTCCTCACCTGTAAAATGGGGATAATACTGCCCCCCCCCCCCCATTAGAGAGGTTGTACGGCTTCAAAGAGAGGGCGGAAGCTAAGCACCAGCATGTGATGGGCCCACAACCCCTCCTTCACGCCCCTGTGGTTTCTTCTGGCCCCGGGCAGGTGTGGCTTCCATCAGAACCCAGGAGGACGGTAGACGGGCCTGAGGGTCAGACAGGGCAGCGACTGACCAAGTCACTGAGCAAGTCGGCAGGCAGCACGGCTGGGGCTCGGGCCTCCTTGTCCCCCAGCTCCTGAGCTCGCCTGAATGGGGCACCGGGAGCTGCAGTCTTGGGGGCCAGCTCCCCGGGGGCACTTCTCGCCAGGCTAGGCCTATGGCGGATCAACAGGTTCTCCCATGCAAAGCGCCTACCACGTGGCCAAGCCACACGGGGGTGGGGGCTGGTGTGGCTGGGCCCAGACACAACCCGAGCTTTCCCAGTCCTCCCAGGAGAGGCCTATCTGTGGGAAGGAGGCCTCCTCCCAGAGAAAAGCCCTGGAATGCGAGGAATGCACCCGCACGTCCAGCCGGCCCCAGCAGGAGAAGGCCTGGCGAGCACAGGGCGGTGGGGGCATTTTCCCAGCCATCACCGGGCCTGGGGGCCACCAGGGAACTCATACCAGACACCACCTTTTGCACCGGGGTCAGGCCTCCGCGCCTGGAAGCTTTCCCAGGTTCTTATGCTGGGCGCGCCGAGCCCCGCTGGGCCCGCGTGGTCTTGGACTTCAGCCTCTCATGCAGCACCAGCACCCGGGGTCTGGGGCCAGGCCCTGAGCTGGGCACCGAGGGGTAGAGGGAAAGGTCATGGTAATAGGCCTTGGGGGGCCCAAACCTGCCTTTTGAATAAGCCGCCTGCCATGGACTCGTTATGCTTGCGGTGGCTTTGGAATCACTGCATCTCAGAGCCAGTGAGCTCCGAGCGGACGGGCTGCATCTCACCTAGTGCCATGTCCCAGGTCCCCTGCACAAAGCTCAGGCGCCACGACTGTGTGCCGAGGGAAGGAGTGAGGTTTTAGCCGCTTCATCCCTCATAGCACCCTCCCCCCAAGTTGGACACGAGATCTCACCCTGTATTTCCGCCCCGGGGAGAGTTCTCCAGGAGGAATCCCCCCACCCCCCACCCCCCACAGGATAATCTGCTCATTAATATACAGTATTGTAAAAGTGATCTATAATTAGATGCTAACCGAGTTGGCCGTAAAATTGGGTGGGCGAGGTCAGCAAGGTAAGCCTGGAGCCAGCTGATTGTTATGATCAATCAATAACCTATTTATTTCCCAACATTTCTATTAACCTCTGCCAGCCAATCACAGTTTCAATTTGGAAGGCTGGGGTCCGCTTTGCTGACTGGACAAGTCTGATTGAAAGCGGGCCCCTGACCCGACCCCGGGGGGCGGAATCCAATTAAAATCATTTTCACTCGTAGATTAATATTTTTAGCATGTTCTACATCCCGGGACCCATCACTCCTGGCAATAACTAATGTCTTGTGACACGAGCAGGTGGACTGGCACTGCCATAAATAATGATTGTGATTAATTAGCTTGTCGGGTCCTGGGGTGGCTTTGGGGTGGCCCTCGGTGCCGCTTCTGGGACGCGCTTCCACCAAATGCTGGCTGCGTGGGCCTCTCTGGGTCCTGTCCCCGGAACAGCCTTTTCTAAGTAGGGGTGGCATTTATCTGTCTCGGGGTCTGTCTTCCTGTTGAAAATGTGAACTCCTGGAGGCCGGATAGTACGCGTCATTCATTTCAGCAAGTCGCTCATTGTCCGGCATCTCCAGCTTTTGTTCTCTATAGACTGTCTCTTATTCTCTCCGCCGACATGATGACAGTGGGAACTGCCATGTTTGTGCAACGCGGTTCCACCCATGGGTGCTGCTGATTGGACCGGAGTCAGGGCCAACTCAAGCTGGGCCGACTGAAGCCTCATCGTCTTACCCCCGGACGCTGCTGATTGGACCAGGGGTGGGAGTGAACCCAAGTGGGGCCAATGAAAGCCTTCTTTGGGAGTTTGGAATTAGGTTTAAGGGAGAGAAGTCTACCAATGTCTTTCCATGATCTTCTGTATGCGTACCATTATTCCAGTGATTCTTTCATGACTTTCCTACCATGGGACTGAGTCCACTGGGCTGTTCTCTCCCTGAGGGGAAGGGTAGTGTCAGTCTCTGTCTCACAATATCTCTCCCCGCACCCACAACAGAGCCCGAATAAATGAATGTCTCTTAAAATCATCTCTGAATAGGAGACTAACTCCCTGCCCACCAGCAGTAACGCTGGTATGGGGCGGGGGGTGGGGGGGGAGTGATTTACAGCTCAGAGATGGTGCTCTGCCCTCGGTCTCCCCAGATTCGAACCTTCCGATGTTCCTCCCACCGCTGGTCATAGCTGGGAGCCTGTAGAGCCGCCTTTGCTTGGCAGCTGTGGGGTGCTGGTTGCCCGAAGTCCAGCCCCCCCCTTCCTCTTCTCTGAGCTGCCACTCTGGGATTTGCCTCTTAACAAAGTCAGTTTCCAGGCACAAGCCCTGCTGGGGGTTTTGGTTAAGAGGAGATGCTTCCCATTTCTCCAGTTTCTCTGCTCTCAGCCGCCAGGGGATTGAAGAGAGCTGTGCTGAGGCCATTTGCATGGGCTGCTTGTGCTGGGAACTGGGTTAAATGCGGCACGCATCAACCATTCACAATGGCTCTCCACACCCCGGTGGAGCACGGAGATCCCGCTAATCTTCCGCCAAAACAATGAGAGCGCGAAGGGTGGCATATTCATCCCCGGGCACGTGGGCATCTGGAAGTTAGGACGAGCCCGGACCACCCACGTTCGGAGCTTTGGCCTCCGGTGGTGCGATGGCAGGACAGAGAATTCTGCTGGGTGTTGTGGGAAGCGGGCCTGGCCGGTTCCGTTGGCTCAGCCCATCCATCTCTCCCTCCACATAGTGAACGTTCAGTATGTTCAAGGCCCTTTAAAAGGCATCCTCACAGTGGCACTGCTCCCGTTATTGTGTATGACAGCTGGGGAAACTGAGGCACAGAGCAGGTAAGGAAGGCGCCCACCAGGCCCCCACAGGAAACAGGTGGCACACTCACCTCGATCTAGTGCCAGGATATTTTCATCACCCCCCCAAGGAAATCGCATGCTCACCACCACTCACTCCCTGTTCCCACCCCGCCCCACCCCAGCCCTAGGCAAGCAACTGATCCGCTTTCTGTCTCTATGTCTGGTAGTCAGTCTAGCACAGGGGTCCTCAAACTTTTTAAACAGGGGGCCAGTTTAAAAAAAGAAAACTATGAACAAATTCCTATGCACACTGCACATATCTTATTTTGAAGTAAAAAAACAAAACGGGAACAAATACAATATTTGTATTTGCATGTGGCCCGCGGGCCGTAGTTTGAGGACCCCTGGTCTAGCATCGATATATATAAAAAGCCAGTGTCTGTGATGACCGTGATGACCAAACGACCAGTCGCAATGAGGTGCACTGAGCACCTCTCAGTTCCTCCCCCTGGCCCGAGCAGCGGCTCTCATGGCGCGGCGGGGCGGGGTGGCTCTTGCAGCGTGGCGGGATGGGGTGAAGCGGCTCTCATGGCGGCGAGAAGCGGCTCTTGCGGCGATGAGCAGCGGCAGGCTACTGCGAGATTTCGTGCGCTGGGCCTCTAGTATCATATAAATGGAATCATGGGATATGTGTCCACCTTTCTTTCATTGAGCATGACGTTTTCTAGGTTCATCCATGTAGCATGCACCAGTACTTTATTCCTTTCCCTGGCTGAATGCTATCCCATTGTATGGTCATACCACCTTGTGTGGATCCATTCATCCCCTGACAGATATTTGGGGTGTCTCTATCTTTTGGCCATGGAGATGAACATTGGCTTCAAGTATCTTCAAGTATCTGTTTGAACACGTGCTTTCAATTCTTTTGGGTACGTATCTACACACACACACACAAGAGACCCATTGATTGGTTGCTTCCTGCGTGCACCCTGACTGAGGCTGG